CCCGCCCCCTACACTATAAAATAGACGCTGAAGCCGCGGCTGAAATCGGTCACTTGTCTACAGAATTAGTATTTTCTGTACAGTGAATGGCACGTAGTGCACTATATAAGGGACAGGGAACGATTCAAAAAGTGTAAATATGCTTCGCGCTGTGTCACGCTAATCACCGCACCGCACACACACTCTGCTCCGGTCCAGAGACACGATAGCACGGAGCGGATCACATGTGCGAGTCGGCGCAGACCACAAAATGTATCGGAGCTATTTGAATTCTACACAGAATGCTATATTTTATAGCAATATGGATGAGATTGTGACTGGCATACCCTGTCAAATGCGACTTTACGGACCTCAACGGCTCTGAACGGCTCTAGCCCAAGCTGTGATATAAACGAACGCTATTGGCTATTTTAAAAAAGGGCGGGGCTGCTTGATATGTCCCGCCCTGTCTTCCTGTTTCAGTTAAAATGACGTCAACACAGAGTAACGCTGCGTGTTTTCTATGCATTAAAGGGGACCTTTAATTCATGAAGGAATTGGCCTGAATCTGGGTGGAGTGCATGATCAGAAAGGTGTGCAGGCAGCGGAGATGGTTATCTAAACCATAGCCTTCCATCGTTTGACTCAGATGTGTGTAGGTGATGATTGCCATGTTGGAAAGGGTTGAAAATAGTATCATCACCATGGTTACACAGCACAAAGCTTCAAGCAAAAGCCCTTCTTCCCAGTAACTCAGTAACTTCTAACCCAGTAGTGCACGGCTCTAAACGTTCTACAAAGCTATGTGAATAGGAGAGGTCAAAGATTAATGATTTAGTATGCTATTTAGTATGTTATTACCAGTTCAAATGATAATAGTTAGCAATGCAGTAATTCAGTTTGATAAGAGTTGGGAATTTATCAAAACAAGAAGTCTTTTTTTTTCTACGACGCCCTTTAGATGTTAAACGCACAAACATTTTGACACATCCAACACGCGGCCACCATCAGACATTATTGGAATTAAAGACAGCATGCACTGTTTGCATGCAAAAACATCCCAAATAAAACTAGCATGTGGAGAAGACAGAAATGCTAGAATGTTACTGAGACAAAAAGCAAGAAAAATCGAGGATAAGACGTGTTCGCTAGGAGATGTGAGATGCTATTATGATACCTAACACTGGTGCAACACATTTATCATCTCAACAGTTGTTTAACAGTTAGCATATGGGATTAAACCAACAATTAATTTACAAGAATCGTTTTGCATCAACTTCAATCCACAATCCATGATTATTCATTGTTTTCGTCTATAATGGAAAATTCAGTGATTTTAGCTAGCCGAGCTAGTCTAAACCGAATCGGATGCAAAATATAGTGAAGTGTGTCTTCCATGTGCTTATTTTCGCAACACTTTCACTTTCTCAACTATAGGATGCCGTCGACAAAACCCAAAGACTTGGCGCCAGACCACCCTGACAGATCATGTGTTTATTTTTCTTCCCCCCTCCCACAAAAAATGGTATCTTCAAACAACCGAAACAACTGCTTTAATCATACGCCACCAATCAGCACTTAGCACTGACTTCTCAGCGACGACATTCGTTTCTCGCTTTCTAATTTCCCACCGTACTAAATACTCTACAGCACGGTCAAACAATAACCCACGTAAGTGCACTAAAAGTCAGCATAACCTGTCCTTAAGCAATCTTTCCTTACATGTTTCCGTTTCAATGCAGGAAAGCCACCGCGAGCAGCCGACGAGCAGACCTGCGAGAGCTCGAATCCATATGTTTCTCGCTGCAGTGAGAGCGTGTTCGGCATTTACTTACATGACTGCATGGAAGAGTGACGCACTCAGACAGAAGTGAAAACCTGCGTCAACATCTCTCTCCCCTCTCTTTTCCCTCTCGCAGACAGTTACGCTCTCGAACACACGCCCCTGTGCAGTCCCATGGTGCCTGACTGGGTCCTACTGCTCTGAAATCTAGCACGAGCCATATTAGGAAACAGCAGTTAAACATGCCACACGTAATTTACATGTGGGGGGAGTGGAGATCGTGGAAAAAAAAGAGAGAGAGAGAAAAAAAACCCTGCACACGCTGGTACGTGCATAAAATAAACAGAAGGGAAGTGAGACCCGAGAGGGGGGTTTAAAAAAGGAGAAGTGCTCTCAGGTTCAACAGTTAACCAATCGCACGGTTGCCACTGTCTAAACAAGTAGCCGGACGCGCAGGGGTGGGGGAGTTTCCTGCCAAACGCACACGCAACCGCGCAACTTTTTCGAACGCAGCTGAGATTCCCCCGTCGTTTGTGATCGCCTAGACATAACAAACTGCAGTTCACCACAGAGGCACCCCATAAAGTCAAAACAGCCCACACACACTGAACAGCCCCCAATCCCACACACACTAAGCATACAAAAGTGGTGCAATGCTTCAAGCCGTGGCTGTTAGAACTGCAAAAGACAGACAGTCAGGAGAGTGAGACAGTACGGAAAAGCAGTTCTTACCTCTCACATCATGATTAGTATTGAGCGTGTATGTGTGTGAGAGATCAGACACGGGCGGCAGGCCGCAACAGCAGAGCCTCAGGCACCGGGTGGACCATTCTCAGAGAGGAGGAGAAAGAGAGAGAGATCGACAGAGAGAGACAGAGAGAGACAGAGCGCTTAGGCTGTGCGTGTGGCTGCTGGTTGCTCCACTGTGTGTGTGTGTGTGTGTGAGCCGAGAGCCTGCGAGAAACAGCAGCACTGCGCAGAGCACCGAACTCAAGCGCCAATCACGCTGGCTGGAACCGCCCACCGACAGACACAACCAGGAAGTGCTGCCGCTGCCACTGCTCTGTGAGTTCCTCACCGAAGAGAGAAGAAAACGAGAAGGGGAGGGGACAAAAGGAAGGAAAGGTCGGTAAAGAAAAGGAAACGAGTGTGCTTGTGAGATTACATCGTGCTCTCCCTGGAGTCTGTCTGTGTTGGGCACCAGACTGCAGTGGGACACGCGCGCACACACACAGCTGTACACCTGGTGCATTGTGCGGCAACGTTATCTGCTGCTGGAAAAGACAGGATTTGGTCTAAATTCGACACTGAATCTGGGTTACGGCCATTTCAGGAGGGAAATATATCATCGCGGTGGCTCAGAATGAAGCGTTTTCCCAATAATCCGCTTTGAAAAGTGTGATATATTTACACCATAAGCTATTTATTAAATGGCATGGAGGGGAACTGGGTTGCATTCATTTATTTCACTGATGATAATACTAACAAACTCCCACATGGCCAGGAATTTAGAGTCCCTTTAAACTACACAGTATTTTCCTGGAGGGCCATAAAACATTGAAACTGGGACATTAATTCATTATATTCTGAAAAAAAAAAAAAAAAGCTTTATTGCATTATTTGCATATTTGAGCCTCGCCCAGCAATGACTGCGGTTATGACTATATCTGAGTTCTGGAAATATGACACACAACTCACAATGGAATAATCATAATAATAAAAGATGATCAGGGCTTATTCTTCAAAAGTCAATAGAAAAAGCAAATAATTACTCTGCTGTTGTTTACATGCCCCTTCAACACAAGGCATTTTGTTTTTGTGAGAATTGTTTAGAGATTGACTTATGCAGCCGGTTCAGGGAAGTGTGAAAAGCTCAAGTGTGTGTGGGGTCAGAAGAGCTTTCGCATTGATGGGCTCTTTTAAGTCCACGGCTTGAGAGCCTAAAATGTCAGCAGCATGTGCACGGGAGGTAACTGCTAAAAAGAGCTACAAACTAGTGTTATATTAGCATTATTTTTATACTATTATAGTATTTATTAATATTTTGAATTAGATTTTGTTTTTATATTTTCGGTTTGCATTTTAATTTTAGTTTAGGTTTTAGTAATTTTATGTAGTTTTGTCACTTCATTATTTGTTTTCTATTTAGCTTAAATTATATATATATATATATATATATATATATATAGTTTTAGTCATTTTAGTACTTCAACCTAAACTTTTTTTAGTTAGATGTCAATACAACATTTAAATTTTTGTTTATTTTTTTTTCTAATGTTTTGTCTTATATTTATAAGTTTAAAAAAAATTATAATAGTTGATCTTTAATAGCTGATATACTGTTGTGGGGAATTTTTTTTCCTAATAATTGCAGAGAAACAGAATACAAGCAAACCATAAGCCAAAAAAAATAAAAATAATTTTTTTTTGCAGAAGGTGCCAAATGATGAGATGAGATGAGAATACAGAATATACCAACTAACAACAACTTTATTTCAATGCGAACTACTACACCAGTTTTAATTCAATTTTAGACATTTTAATTACATTTAGATTAGATCCTGCATTGTGGATTCTGTAACATTTGTTATGTACATTTATGCCATAATAAATAAATTATGCCTATTTTAGCATCTACCACTGTTTCAGCTTTGTGCTTGTATCTTATGGGTAATAAAACATAAGCTTACTTGAATATAAATGGAAATAACTTTTGACATCATACAATGAATTCTTATTAAAAGTACAATTGTAAAGTTGATTTCCCCATGTCTAGACATCAGGGTGGTTCATGTGGCCATTTAAACTCCTAATAAATGCAATTTAAGTTACTTTTAATTTAAAACATTCATGTGAACTACAGTAGGCCCGATATCAAAATGGTTAGCCTGTTTAGGTACTCTTTGGCCGGCATCAGTGATAAATATATGATAATTTATGCAGTTGACACAAAAACCAAAGCTACAGTCCAACTCTGGTTTATATTAACAACCACACACACATGCACTCTCATTTCACTCTGACTACCTTTTTCCCCATTACCTTCAACTGACCGACTTATTCAGATATTACACATAAAGGAAAATATGTCTTATCCAATAATTCTGGTCTTTTTCCTTTCCGCTCATGCTTTCGTGTCCTCATACTTCTAAAGGCTTGTTCTGGTATAAGAATGACGAAAGTGGCAGAAATAGTCACACGAGAAGAGAAGACGGTCATACTTTCCACTGGAACGACTCTCGCTCGCTCTCTCTCTAGTTGTATGATAAATGGAAATCTATTAGCAGACTGCTAAAATGGCCAAACACTCAAGTTTTGCATCCCTATAATTTTACATGTGCATCTCTCTAAACGACTGTTTATGTGTGAGCACCAGTGTTGGGCCAAAACTAGTTCAGCCATTTTCAAAACAGTCTAGCATTGAATTCTGTAAAGCTGGGAAGTCTGATTCATTTCAGTGAATAGTGATTCATGTAAATAATGATTCAGTGACCAAGTAATATTACACTAATCCATTTTAACATTTGAAAAAAAATTTTTTAAGCAAAATATTTATCCGAATGCTCCTTTTCATCGCAACTCTTTCAACTTTGGTTATTTAAATAGTATAGTATATTTTAGAATTAAGTTATACTATAATGAAGTTAAGTTGTATATATAATTAAGTTCAATTCCTGTGATGTTTGTGACAGATAAATGCTGTAATTGCACAGTTAATCTGACAGATGTACACTACAGTTGAAACGCCTCATGTCAGTAATATTTGTAATGTTTTTGAAAGAGGTCCCTTGTGTTACCAAGGCTGCATTTATTTGATCAAAAATACAGTAAAAACAGTATGAAATTGTCATACTTTTTTCTGGATTCTTTGACGAACTGAAAGTTCAAAAGAACAACATTCCTATGAAATCTTTTGTAACGTTACAATTCTCTTTGCTGTGACTTTTGATCAATTGAATGCATCCTTGCGGAATAAAAATATTAATTTCTTTAAAAATAATAATTAAAAAAAAATCTTACTGACCCCAAACTTTTGAACTGTAGTGTATATTTATACTGATAGTAAATTGATATAATATAGTTTTTATAGCTAGCTACTCTTTCAAAAGGGCAGCTTGACTTAACTGCTATTTATTATAATTAGCTTGGCAGTTTCGATAGTTTCTAAGTACCTCCCCCAGCACTGGTGTGCACGAACACAAACATGTGCATGCTAGCTCAGTAAATGAAATCAATAAATAAAACAAATGCACATATTTATGTGGACTCTGTGTTTGTGTGTATGTATTCTAACAATGCATTATGATGGACAGAGAAGTGAGTAAAAGCACAAGCTGACTGGGGTGACTTGATTAATGTCGGTCTGGCTTCATGACATCAGAACTCTTCACAGTTTTCTTGACCTCTCTCTGCCAAACACACTGACTCACCAAGCAGACATCTAGACGCACACATGATCGTCAAACACACACATTCAGATAGAATTTTCTGGCTCCAACCACACCGACGTGCCTCTCTCTCATTCTCAAACCCTCGTACCATCTCTCACAGGTCTTTTTTTAATGCTTCACCATTTAAGCTTCAACATGTCTGTGACAAAGGAGTGAAAGTGATTGGGTGTGGCTGTTTACACAGTAAGTCAAAGTCACTGGGATCAGCAGTATATAGTTTACAGAAAGAGAGACGGGTATGCTGGTGTAAAGTAGTCTTACCATGGCAAATGTTTAACTAACAGCATAAAGTCTGGTGCACAAAAGCCCAATTTAGACAAGAAGAGATCTTCTGACCAACAGTAACATTCAAAGTTTAGGGTCGGTAATATTGTTTTAGCGTTTTTGAAAGAAGCATTTGCATTTATTTGATCAAAAACCCAGTAATATTATGAAATATTATTACAATTTAAAATAACTGTTTTCTATTTTAATATATTTTAAAATGTAATTCACTCCTGTGATGCAAAGCTGAATTTTCAGTGTTCAGTGTCACATGATCCTTCAAATCATTATAATATGCTGATTTTCTGCTCAAGAAACATTTATTAGTATCAATAATGTTGAAAACATTTGTGCTGCTAATATTTTAGTGATTTCGGCAGCTGTGATTTAAAAAATGTTTCAGTATTCTTGGATGAACAGAAAGTTCAAAAGATCAGCATTCATTTGAAATAGAAATCTTTTGTAACATAATTAATGGTTTTAATGTCGCTTTTGATCAATTTAATCCACCCTTGCTGGATAAAAGTATTATTTGTGACCCTGGACCACAAAACCAGTCATAAGGGTTAATTTTTTGAAATTGAGATTTATACATCATCTGAAAGCTGAATAAATAAGCTTTTCATTGATGTATGGTTTGTTAGGATAGGACAATATTTGGCCGAGATAAAAAATCTGGAATCTGAGGGTGCAAAAAATCTAAATATTGAGAAAATCGCCTTTAAAGTTCTCCAAATAAAGTTCTTAGCAATGCATATTACTAATCAAAAATTAAGTTTTGATATATTTACGGTAGGAAATTTACAAAATATCTTCATGGAACATGATCTCTACTTAATATATAATATCCTAATGATTTTTGGCATAAAAGAAAAATCGATAATTTTGACCCATACAATGTTTTTTTGGCTATTGCTACAAATATACCCAAGCGACTTAAGACTGGTTTTGTGGTCCAGGGTCACATTTATTAAAAATAATACTTATTATTATTATTGTTGTTTTGTTTTTACATGCCGTAAATGATCTAGATATTTTGGTCAGTCATGTTGATAGTTTGGTGACAGGATCCTGACAAAAAAGTACTGATTATTTAACAGACAAAACTCAGAAAACAAACCAGAAATTACAGTTCTAACTAGTTTAAGTGCCTTAAATAAAACTATCTACCAAAAATTTGATGTCACTAGCCTGGCAAACTTTGGCAAATCTAGTCATTAGTTCTTCAATTGTATCAACGGGGTACTTTGATTTCCAAATGGACTGATCTACTGTATATTTC